ATTCTCGTCTGGCACCACTCCAAAAAGGGCAGAGAGTTATGTAACGAAACGAAGGTTTATGGACCGGACGAAGAATGTAAACAAACAAACAAAAATGAAGAAAAACAACATCCCTCGAATAGGAAAACGTAAAAAAAAAATTAAAACCCCCTTCCGTCCTGCCAAGTGCCATTACTCCTCCTGTGCCATTCCCACTCCGTACACCCATCCAGACACCAGCCGAGGAGTGACTGGTGCCAATACCCAAGCAGATACCCAGATACCCACCTAGGCCGCTGCTGCTCCTCAATTGCTGACCCGTTAGATGTGGGTGACCTCAGTAAGCCCGAGTTTCTGGCCGATTTCTCTCCGTAAGTCACTTTGAACCGCCTTTTTGCAGCTGTCAACAGGTCCAGTGACTCCCCTGTGAACAGCTGGGAACAGTTTGGTTCGTATTCTCTCCCGACAGTTTCTGGATTGATAGATTCAACACGAAAGAAATAGACTACGTCCACTCGATTCCGTAGCCAGTCGCGTACTGATTGATTGCTTGTGTTGCCAGATGTGAAATCCACTATGTGTTCCAATAATGTTGGCGCGCTTTGGTTCACATCCGACGGGAGTTTTTTTATTTTTATTCTGTATCCATAGCATACTTTTACTATTTCTTTATTTTAATATTATCATCTAATATTATAAAAGGTAAATTATATTTTTGGCGTTTCCAAAATCCCATAGGTTACTTTTTGACTACTGTGAAAGATGGTACCGTATGTGAACGAGTGCGACGTCGTCTGGCTACGTTACTCGAATGAGAAAAGGGATGATGAAGATAAATGATATGATCATAAATTTTGTATTTTCATTGAGAAAACTGTTGGTGATTTAAAAGTAATATTTCTAGAATACCGATTCATTTAATTATTTCCTAAAAATTGTAAATTTGTTTTTCTATGATGTGTATGACATCATCAACAGTAATAACATAACAGTAATATGATTTTTTTATGACTATGGTGAGAGGATATGGACAATAATAATTATGATAGTAACAATAGTACAACCATAACATGAGAGACAACAGCAGTAGTCACAATAATAGCATAACAAGTTTTATAAGCACAACAAAACAATTACTATTATCATCAACATTATTTTCATTAACATATTATCATTATCGTTATCATTAATATTATTGTTATCATTATTAGTATTATTATCATTTTTAGTATTATTATCATTATCATCATTAACATCATTATTCTTATTATAATCACCTATTATTACCGTCATATACGATCCCTATTATAATTATTAGTAATATTATCATCATTATAATCATTATTATCAATATCATACGAAATTATGGTGATATTAATGATAAAAAACAATAATAGTAATAGCAACAGTAATAGCAATATCACTCATAGCAACGATAACAACATCAATTATAATAATGATAATAATAATAATAATAATGATAATGACAACAACAATAACAATAATGATAATAATAATAATAATGACGGTAATAATTACGATAATAATAACAATGAAAAAAATAATGATAATGATAATGATGTTTACATGCATCTTAGAATTTTGCCACGGCATCTGATACAGCCATTCAGACTGTAATATTTAATGGCAACAGATCTTCATAGAACTTTTGAATATATGTAAAAGATAATCACGTTACACTTCCATTTGTGTCTGTAAATGTTTATTTACGTTTTACCTGTGTGTGTGTGTGCTTTTGTGTTCATTTGCTTGTTGTATTCCTTCATCCTAACGATTTTTAAATATTCATTGCATGTAAATCACCGAATGTGCAACAGTAAGGGTGTCGATTTCAGATATTCATTGCATAT